ATGCTCCCTCTGCACAGAGATCCACTGCTGCCCCTTCCTGGCTTGTCCTCCTGCAACCTGGGAATCTCACTCTCCATCTAATCCCTTCATTTAAACCGGAGCAGACCTAAGAGCCCATAACACCTTAGGAGGGCTCCTTGCTCTTACGGTGAGGCATCTGTCTGCACCAAGGGAGTCTTTCATCCCCACATCTCCCCAGCCTCCTCACTCCTTCCCTGCCCACCCCGGGGCCTGCATACAATATATGCATTTCTTTATTTATTCATTTATTGATTCATTTGTGCTCCTGGAGATTGATCCCAGTGTCCCACACATGCGAGGCTATATCCCCAACCCTAACAAGGCATTTAACTACCATGCACTTATAAAACTTCTAAACAGCCATACAGCCATGACGAGGCAGTGCTGAATAAAGATCAGAGACAGAAACATATACTAAAGAAAATAAATAAATCAAGATAGAGATGGGTGTTACAAAGAAAGTCCAAAGAAAGTCCAGGAGGGGAAGAGGCTGGAGAGGGTGCAGGCCAATCAGGAGCCAGGGAAGGCTATCTATATCCTCTCAAGGTGTCATGGGAGAAATACAGGTGTCATGGGAGAAAATGGCACAAGCAGGAGAAACTGTATGCACAGATTCAGGGCACAGGTGCAGGGCACAGGTGCAGGGGCACAGGTGCAGGGGCACAGCTGCAGGGCACAGGTGCAGGGCACAGGTGCAGGGGCACAGGTGCAGGGCGCAGGTGCAGGGCACAGGTGCAGGGCGCAGGTGCAGGGCACAGGTGCAGGGGCACAGGTGCAGGGCACAGGTGGAGGGGCACAGGTGCAGGGCACAGGTGCAGGGCACAGGTGCAGGGGCACAGGTGCAGGGCACAGGTGCAGGGCACAGGTGCAGGTCACAGGTGCAGGGGCACAGGTGCAGGGGCACAGGTGCAGGGCACAGGTGCAGGGGCACAGGTGCAGGGGCACAGGTGCAGGACACAGGTGCAGGGCACAGGTGCAGGGGCACAGGTGGAGGGGCACAGGTGCAGGGCACAGGTGCAGGGGCACATGTGCAGGGCACAGATGCAGGGCACAGGTGCAGGGCACAGGTGCAGGGCACAGGTGCAGGGGCACAGGTGCAGGGCACAGGTGCAGGGCACAGGTGCAGGGGCACAGGTGCAGGGCACAGATGCAGGGCACAGATGCAGGGGCAGGCAGGGCACAGCAGGCTAGAGACACGACAGTTGAGGAAACAAAACTTCAAAAATACAGTGAGAGAAACCTGTCAGAATATCTAAAGCTCACACGTGAGAGATGACAGCCCATAATCTGTCAATGCTCACTCAGTAACAGTCTTTAGAGCACACTGGTGAACAGTGAGTAGCCCTGTGGACTTCAGAAATTGCAATTCTTCATCCTGCCATCAAAAGTTCCCACAGTCACGCTAATGTCTGCACAAACTAATGTCTTATTTACATGGGGGTGGAGCTCTTACGGTGGGAAAGCAACATCTCCTCCTGCCTAAAGGACTTAAAAACACCAACAACCTGCTGAGGGCTTTGAGCACTTCAGTCCTTTCATTTTAAAATATGGTTGAGAATCTCCTAAACTAAAGGAGCTTGGGCAGTGTGGGAGGGAGGTGGGGCAGAAAGACATAGAAGGATCACAAAAGATCTCTTCCCTAGAAGTGGACAGTATCCTAAGGCCCTGAATTATGTTCTAAGGGGAGAAGTGAGGAGGTGTCTGCAGGAGGTGACCAGGGTCAGAGTTCACCAGCCAGTCTCACCTGGGTTGCTACGAGGTAGATGAGCTGCCCAAGGCTGGGCAGGAGGCACTGCTTCAGTTTGCTGCTCCTGAAGTTCTCCCGGATTAGTTCCGTTAAGAGCGTGATCGCCTGCAATGGGAAAGTGTGTCAATTGCGCTGCGTCTGTATTGTGGGGTGTGATATTGTGTTCCCCCAAATATTGTGCATGCTAATAAACTTATCTGGGGTCAGAGACAAAGCAGCCACAATATTAAACATAAAGGATAGGCAGTGGTAGCACACGCCTTTAATCCTAGCATTCCAGAGGCAGAAATCCATGTGTTCAAGGATACAGCCAGGCATGGTGACTCACGCCTTTAATCCCAGAAAGCAAGCCTTTAATCCCAGGGAGTGGTGGTATAAAGCAGAAAGGTATATAAGCGTAAGGACCAGAAACTAGAAGCATTTGGCTGGTTAAGCATTCAGGCTTTTGAGCAGCAATTCAGCTGAGACCCATTCTGGATGAGGACTCAGAAGCCTCCAGTCTGAGGAAACAAGACCAGCTGAGGACCCGGTGAGGTGAGGTAGCTGTGGCTTGTTCTGTCTCTCTGACCATCCAGCATTGACCCCAATACCTGGCCCCAGGTTTATTTAATTAATAAGACTCGCTAAGATTCCTGCTACAGTGGGGACACTGGCTAACAAGGCACCTTCAAACAGCTACACCAAAGTGTGACTGATACGAAATAAACTGTGTGTTCTTAATGTTTACATTAGTGTGGGTGCACGTGCAGACATGCACCTGCCACAGCACACAAGGAAGAGGACAGCTTTCGGGAGCTGGCTCTCTCCCTCCACTGTGGGCTCTGGGATCTAACTCAGGTTCACTTGGTGGCAAGCTCCTCTACCCACTGGGCCCTCTCGCCGGCTCCTGTAAAGTCTGCAGTGAAATACATTTGCAAAGTGTCTGCAACTGAGAAATCCTCAGTTCCCAGTGCTCTTCGAAGGTCCTTTGGTAATCCCAGACAATGGTCTTCTCTTTGCCACTTGTTTGTAGTTCACAGTCTCTAAAGTTTATGTACAAGTGGCCATATTCTGTGCATCTTTTTTCTGGCCTCTTGTATTTCATGCACTTGAGATTTTCCTGTGTTGTTGTAGATATTGATACTTCATTTTTTTCTGCTCTCACATAATATTCCATTACACAGATGTGCCACAGTGTGAGTTCCATATCTGAAGTGCTTGTTGGAGGGAATCAGGTGGCTGTGGTGTCTGTCCCAGTGTGACATCATTCTTCTGTCGTCTTTTCATCCTCATGGACTGTCATTAAGTACCACACTCAATCTTTTGAAACTGCCAGTGCTCAGAAATTTGTTATCTACAAAATTAGCAAATTGGGCACTAACAAATTACCGTAAAAGATGGTGGAAGTACATATTTCTAAAGAGAAAGCAAATGATGAAATAAGGAAAGTTGGAGTGTAGGGAAGAAAGCAAAAGAAAGTAGGAAATGCAGAGGTGAAGTGAACAGGCTTCCCTTCCCTTATACATTCTAAATTATGTTTGATGGTTAAGGCAAAAATCATAAAATTACATTTAGACAATTATACAAAAAATAGTTTAAAAGGGAGGAATTTTCTATACCCCACTTGAAATAGTAAAATGATGACACTAATGGACTTTGATGTGTTGGTATAAAAACCTAGGAACGTCGGGCAGTGGTGGTGCATGCCTTTAATCACAGCACTTGGGAGGCAGAGGCAGGTGGATCTCTGTGAGTTCGAGGCCAACCTGGTCTGCAGAGTGAGATCCAGGAAAGGTGCAGAGCTACACAGAGAAACCCTGTCTCAAAAAAAAAAAAAAAATACCCTAGGAACAACTACTAAAACAAAATCTACACAAAAGAATTCAGTAATACCACAGGAAAAAAGTCAAAATGAAATTGCAAGTTCAGCAAACTCCAAGAAGGTAGTAAAAAGTAAACAAAGGAATTTAAGACAGACAGAAAACAAAAGTCAATTGTTGCACATATGATCAAATATTTCAGTAATTACATTGAATGTAAATGACATAAATACAGCAATTAAGAGACAGAGACTGGAAAAGTAGAATTAAAACAAAGTATGACCCAACTAGAAGCTGCCTGCAAGAAACTCACATGCATGGACTATGAAAAACAAAAAAGATGTAACAGCAGCAGCGGAAAGCGGCGAGGGCTGTATTAATAGCAGAAACTTTGGAACAAAACAAACCTGTTAGAGACCAAGACAAACTTTATATGATAGTAAAGAAGTCAATTCAGCAAAAAAAAGCATATAGACATATACATATATACAATCATCACATACACAGACAGATATACACATACTGCTTACATACATACATATACACATATACATAAATATATCCTATATCCATATATTACATATATGCATACATATATCCTATACAAAGACATACATACACATATATGTTTATATATGTGCATATATATCATAAACAGAGATGTGTATATACATATATTCACACATATACATACACACATGTACATGGATACATCATGCACCAGACATGTATACACATAAATGTTCACATATATATACATACACATGTATATATATATATGCATATATCATATACAAACATGCATATATACATTTTCACATATACACATGTACATCATATGCAAAGACATATACACATGTTCACATACATACATATATATGCATTATAAACATAGGCATATATACATATATATGTTCAAATATATACATATATGCATGTATGTGTCTACATGAATTTATCATACACACAGATATGTATACATCTACGAGACTACCGAGATACAGACGAGAATGAGGATTCACAGAGACTGGGACTGTGTATGAAACTACACAACACTGCTTCAAGAAACACAAGGCGATCTCACTACGGGGAGAGTTGATGTTCATGGTGAACAGGAAGGCAGCCACAATCAGCCCCACAAGAGGGGGTCCAGCCAACGTGACAAACCCACAGGGCGACTCAGTCCAACCCATGTACAAACAGTTAACTCAAACCGACCACCAGCATAAGCTTAAACTACACACTGTCTGGAGAACGATCACGGGGATGTTTCACCGTCTCGGGCCAGTAAAGGCGTGGAGAAACTGCACCAAAGACAGATGCCTTCCAAATGCAGCACCACAGATATTAGGGAAATGCAAACCAACCCCCACATGAGACAATGCTGCACGCCTGTCAGAACAGCTGCATGAAAATCAGCAATAACCTTGAATTAAAAGGCTAATTTTTCACAAAATCGAGCATATCCTACACTCAAATCTCAGGTTGGTCTTTCTGTTCCCAAGCTAGCTGCTGGGATTTACAGCATCTCTCCATTCTATAATCCACTGGTGTTTGCAGAGTTAAGTGCCCCAGAAAATTGAGACCATTTTAATGCTGTGTACCCTTTAAGCCACAAACCTGAGGGACTGTAGCCAGCATCTTGTAAACAGTGTCTACACAGATGGTGAGTTACTCCAGTGACCACATCCCACCTATAGAAAGTTAATGTGGGTAACAGTTAACATATCCCTGCAATATCATGTTATTGGTTTCCCATTTCTTTAAATTTTAAATAAATATTAATATTAAAAAGGGAGAAAAGGGGCTGGAGAGGTGACACAGTAGTTAAAAGCACTGGCAGCTCTTCCAGAGATGGGATTTCAATTCCCAGCATCCACCTGGTGCCTCACAACTGTTCTAAGTCCAGATCCAGGGGGATCTGGCTCCCTCTTCTGGCCTCCTCAGGCACTGTACACACATGGTACACATACATATATACAGGCAAACACCCAAACATATAAAATAGTTAGTTCTTTTTAAAAAGGAAAAAAAATAAACAAATGGAATACATGAAAGGGCAATAAGAGGAAAACATTTTTTGTTGATGGAGGTACAATTGCATTTGAAAGGGGCTATCAAAAAGCAGAGTGAAAAGGAAAATGAGTTAGTTGTTCTTACGCCTGCCTACCTGAGCGTGCTGTGCTCTATGAAGTGGTCCTCTGAGCTCATGCCACATGGCCTCACACTCATATAAGAGAGAACGCAATGTCAGAACCCAGCTGCCACCCAGGCTACAGCCCTTGCAGCCAGGGGCCTTTCCTCCCACTCTAGTGAGCACAGCCAGCGGCCTTTCCTCTCACAGGTAACATGGGCTCCCACTCTAGTGAGCAGGGTATCAGGACCTCTCACCTGGGGAAGTGAGTTTACCTCAGAGTGGTCATTGATGGTCACACTTTCTGCCCCGACCCCTTTCCCTGCCTTCTGCCTGGAAATCGGAGACCTGGCTGCAGGGTTGTGCTGCCAAACCTCCCCATCCCCAGGAAGGGGTAAGAAGAGACCCCCACTTCTGTCATGTGGGCCCTAAACCCTCTCCTCAGAGCACCCCCATACTGTTTGTTGGCTGTATGTCTGCCTTCTTATTCCCCACAATCCATTTCAGAGCCTCTCTTGAACACACATTGAAGACCTTTCAGTACATACACACAATAAAATAAATATAAAAACACTTTGTAAACACTGTGTAGTGCTGAACCTTGCCATGCAGATGAGGAGATCGGCTATGACAAAACCCCTTTGCCCACTTCTGGCAGATGGCAGGCAAAATATTCTAAATGTCCTCCTACTGGGATTATTTTACATTAGATAAACATGATAGACTCACAGCTGAGCTGGGAGAGGGGGGGAGAGAGAGAGAGAGAGAGAGAGAGAGAGAGAGAGAGAGAGAATAAGAAACTTCAAAGACCAAAATGAGACAGAAAAAACAGAGAGGGAATAGGAAACCCGGAAGCTTGGCCAGCACACAGGCAGCTTTCGCTCAGGAGCACAGATAGCGAATCTTGATGACTTTGAAATGACTTTTGAAAAGGAACAAGAGACAAACCCCAGGGCTTGTCCTTAGTGTGTTATCACACAGACCATGGACATCAATATGGGACCCCAAGGCTGTATGAATAAGAAATGGGCCAGTCTGCAAGAGAGAGCCAAGAAACAGGACTCTGATGTTAATGGAAGCAGGGAGGGAACGTTTCCCCGGAGACCCCAGCAAGCAGGCATCAATGGCAAAAGTCCCCACACTTAGAACCTCCCTCTGCCCCAGGGACTAAG